AAGGAATTTTTGCAATGGATTGTTTTGGTTGATTTTATTGTTCATTCTTGTAGATGCTTGGTCGAGCTGGTCGTCCACAATACGATTCGAAAGGCAAAGGAATTTTGATTACGAATCATTCTGAGTTACAGTTCTACCTTTCGTTAATGAATCAACAGGTTTGACCTAAGGTTTTTGTTAGTATTTACAATTTTCAACGAGTTCGTGGAAAGTTGCTTGTATAGGATTGGGAAATCACATGTCTATATGCTCTGTTTTAGCTTCCTGTCGAAAGCCAAATGATCTCTCGTCTTCCTGACATGCTTAACGCTGAGGTTGTTCTGGGTACGATTAATAGCGTTAGCGACGCAATGTCATGGCTCGGTTACACATACCTTTACATCCGCATGTTGAAATCTCCAACATTGTACGGTATACCAGCTGATCAGGCAGTAAGTTTTGCACATATATGCTACTTATCTTTGTTGTACGTTATTTTCGAAGACTTGTCAAGCTAAATACGATTGTGAATCTTTTCTTCAACAAGGAAGGGATACTTAGTGACTTCGGAGGCTTAGGAGGCACCACGTGATGCGCCTCAACGCTTATTTCAAACCTGTCTGTCTGGAAGATTCTCTGAAGGGAATAATGGAAATTTCTTTTAGCGAATAACGTGCACATTTTGCCAATGATTGCTCGTATACTCGTACATTATTTAAGGGACGAAACAGAAATATTTATGTACTTTAGTCAGCAACTAATCTTTCAGATTGATTTTTAGAGTAAGTTTGGAGTAATTGAGATAATCGGTATATTTTGCATATTTCGCAGAGGGAAAATTTCATAACTTTCTTCACTAAGCAGATATTGAAGACAGATTTGAAACCAGCGTATTGGGCTGTCCGCTGATAGCGTTCTATTTTGAAAGGCCAAATTTTTGATGATCACCCCTTGCAAGGGCTTTGAACTAGGGGCGTATGTAAACGATATCGTGTTCGCTTAGTGCTCTCTAAGAAGATAATTCCAGAAAGCTGATCCTCTACTGGAGCAACGACGTGCTGATTTGATTCACACAGCATGCCTGCAGTTAGACAAGGGCAATCTTGTGAAATACGACAAGAAGAGTGGCCTTATTCAGGTCGGTGATTGAAAAGCATCCTTTTTGGTTTTCTTTCATCATAATCATTTTGGCCTTTTAATCTGAGCTACTACACACTATCTTTTAGGCAACCGAATTGGGGCGTATTGCCTCTCACTACTATTGTACATTTGAGTCAATGCAAGTGTATAATCAGTTGCTGAAGCCAACCGCCACCGAGATTGACTTATTCCGTATATTCTCTTTGTCAAGTGAATTCAAAAATATTGCGGTTAGCTTTCCATCTAATGCTCAACACATTCCGTTTCTGCGATGCTTTTGGCTCATACTGTTCCGTTGTTCAACGTTTTTTAGGTTCGTGAGGAGGAGAAACTTGAGCTCCAAAAGCTTGCGGAACATGTACCAATCCCGATCAAAGAAAGTTTGGACGAAAGCAGCGCGAAAACTAATGTGCTTCTACAAGTGAGTTTTCTAGACTTATCTGATTCTGATTCGCTCAGCAAACAAGTTGCTTATTCTCTTTAGGCTTACATCTCCCAATTGAAGCTGGATGGATTTGCTTTGCAATCTGACATGGTATTCATAGCGCAGTCAGCTGGGCGACTTTTCCGCGCTCTGTACGAAATAGTTTTATGGCGAGGATGGGCTGCTTTGGCACTGGTACGTAAGGACTTCCATTTCGCAATGCGACAATCATATTGTTAAGAAGCGCCACATTTTTTAGAAAGTTCTCAGCTTGTGCAAAATGGTTACTGCTCGGCAGTGGCAGTCTCTGAATCCTTTACATCAGTTCAAGAAGATACCGACAGAGGTGAATTTCATCTTTTCATTTACTCGATGTATTCTTTTGTTTGCTTCCCTGTAACCGATTCCCCTCCCCAGATTGTGCGTAGCATCGATAAAAGGAACTATTCTTTTGAACGGCTGTACGATTTGGACCAACACCAACTTGGAGAGCTCATAAGAATGCCAAAGATGGGCAAGCCCTTGTATAAATTCATCAGACAGGTTGCTTTTTATTCACTCCATTTGTCTGTCTCCTTTCACATGGTATGGACTTCAGTTTCCGAAACTAGAAATGACAACGCTTATCCAACCCATTACTAGAACCACTCTTCGTATTGAGTTGACTATCACGCCAGATTTTCAGTGGGACGAGAAGTAGGTTTCAGTCCATAAAGAGATCGTTTTGCGTAATCAGCAACATTGCAATTCAATTTAAGGGTTCACGGTAGCGCTGAAGGTTTTTGGATATTCGTGGAAGACGTAGA